CGATAATTTGCAATTTATATCAAATTAAAAATTCATAATATATTTTCTTTTTAAATCTAAAATATGCCAAGCCATATTCTTTTAAGCTCATTCAAAACAAAATCTTCAAGGCTTTGGAATAAGTATTAGGACGATTTTTTGGACCATATCCGGCAACACATGGAAAATAATATAACAGATGATCATGATGAACTTTATAATAAATGTTTGGCATTAATTGAATATTTTATTTTGAATCTAGGTGGAATGAGCTTAAAAGAATATGGTTTGCCAAAAAAATAATAACAGAAACATACAAAAATGCATAAACTGTAATCAACTCAACTCCTTAATAAAGGATATAAAATGAACAGAGATATTATATAATAAAAATATTGATATAAATATTGCACAATTCTATAATAAAATGAATAGAAATTAAAATCATTGAAGCTTCTACTACCTACCAGATCACCCAGAATAGAACTATCAACTAGTTATACAACTGAAAAGAATGGATAACTAAAGGATTAACACGTTGAGTGCCACGGTCGACTAACTGTTGCTGGGTCACCAAGACCGCGGTCGACACGCAGTCGACAAATATTATATCTTATATGTATCTTTATTGGGTATATATTACGGTTATTGACGCACCATTTCAATTTTTATATGTGGTTATTGAGTAGGATCTCGTGATTGCATTGGTATATTTGGATTTTGAGTAGCTATTTTTAATGTGTATTAATTAATAATTATTTTCCCCCGTATTACGACGACAGCCACGGCGATGTCGAATTGTCGATAGCGCGGCGGTGCTATTTCCAATAATATAAAAATATTATATTAATTTGTTGTCAGTTGTCACTAATTGGCTRACAAAAATAATATTAGTTTATTTTAATAATATACAGGGTGTATATTATACGTAAACAATTTTGTTTTACATGTAAATTCGTATTTATTATTTTTCATTATTTTTTTTTTTAATTTAAAAAAAAATTGTGTGGCAATAAATTACCAGTGACCCTTATAAAAAATAACCATTTTATTAAATTATACATTTACACTGAAAACAATATTTACATTTTAAATAACAACTTCACCGGGTGCGGGGAACCGATGTCGACACGTAGTTGGCCGTCGGCTGCGCGACTCAGTTTTGACGCGGAAACTCTSTGATATATAAATAACGAGGCAYTCAACGTGTTAATTATTGATAATATCAATAATAACCACAGGAAAAATATTTTATAAAGTGTAAAAAATACCATTTGATACCAAACTATTGAGTTTTTAAAAGAAATATAAAATGTTCTAAACTCTTGCTTAAAAGTGCGAAAAATGCATGTTTTATTATTATAATAAACTATGTTAAAAATAATATTAAATAAACATAGAGTATAATTATGACACTTTTGGTAAAACTACTAAAAATATTAGTCATTTTACTGAAATTTTTAATAATAAATGTAATATTTTAGTTGATGAAAAAGAAATAGCTAATTAATTTAATTCCTTGTTTGTCAAAGTTGGAAGTAATATTGAACATATAATAAATGGAAATCCCTTTGAGAAATTAGTCTAGAATTAAATGAATAAAACTGCCATGTACCAAATTCAATTTTTTTGAGCCCAATCACTGAACTTGAAATACAAAAGTATTTAAATAAAATAAAACCCTCGTCGTCCAATGTCATAAATAATTTAACAAACGCATTATTAAAAAACACATATTCACCTATATTATCATATCCACTATAAATAATATTTAAAAATTCAAACTCTTCTGATAAATATCAAAGTTCCTTTAAAAACTGCGTAATATTACTTATAAGTTATAAATAAATCAGACGATAAGATGATTTGTTCTAATTATAGACCAATAGCCCTCTCTTTAACGATCTTTGATATTTTAGAAAAGTGCGTTAAAACTCTTGTTATGGGATTCTTAGCTAACAACCAATTCTTTAATCAATATGCATTCATCACGGGTAAATCAACAGAAAATACACATTTTACAGCAAATAATTACATCAGTGAGTCTTTGGATCAAAATAATTGGAATTTTCTTAGACATAAAAAAAGCCTTTTATACTTTTAAGTAGTGATAATCACGCTTTGCCATTAAAGAAACTTGAGAACGCTGAAATAAAAGGATTAACAAAAAATTTTTCGAATCTTGTTTAAACAACGGAACTCAAATAGTTAAGATGTACATAGCAAACCTCCGATTCTTACAAAATCTGTGCCTCAAGGAAATGTCTCAAGACCACAGTTATTTTTAATTTGTTTTAATGGATTACTGAATCTGAATATTAGAGGTAGATAATATGTCTTGCTGATGAAACCCTASTATTATTAAAAGAAAAATCTTATGACCTATTAATTTACTTAGGTAATACATCGATTAAATTAATAAAGGCGTGATTTGATAATAACAGAATKGCRATAAAATTAAAACTACTAAAAATTACAAATTATTTTTCCACAATGCTAACTGTAAACAAATGTCTGATTRTAACTGTGTGGAAATAAAATAATTATCAAGTATAAAATACCAAGGATTGGTCTATGACAATAATTTAAATTGGAAATACCATATTGAGAATTTCACTAAACTAGTAAGGACATTTTTTATAAAACACATAGATTATTTTTAGATACTAAAGTATAAGTATTACGATTCATTAGTAAATTCTGTTATTTCTTATGGTATAATTGGGGTGGTCACGACAGTAAATTCCTTAATTAAGTGTATGTTAAAAAACGATATCTTACTCCAACTATCGTGATAGGTACCTATATACAATATCTAATATTAATAAATTCGAAAAACCACAAAGAAATAATTTACTTTTATTATTTTACAAAYATAAGCATCTCATTAGAAAACCAATACATAATTTTGATACCAGATTAAAGGAAAGAAGTAATGTAAATACTTCTGTACCTATGTAAAAAACTTTTCAAAATTTCACTTTTAAATACTGGTATAAATTTGTTGTGAAGTGAAAATATAAATATCGATTTGTTTCAAACTTTGATTAAATTTTAAATGTACATTTAAGATTTAGATTAATTCGTTTAAAATATATTAGTTTATACAATTTAGCAAACTGATTGTTGTATTTATCCTTTTTATTATTATTATTATATATTTTTTTGTTATTATTATTCTATTGTTACTAAGACAAACTCAAACCTAAAACAAGTTTACTTATAGGTTAGTTGAGAAAGAAATATAATATTAAAATTAAAATTGTATCTAATCTTTCTGAAATAAAGTTATTATTATTATTAAATTAAACAATTGAAAGCATCAAATTCTAATACAATCGGCTAAAAGCTAAAAAAATATTTGATATCAAGATATTTATGTGAGCAATTATTTAATCAAAGAATATTTTTTTAAATATAAGACGATACATTGTGTCCTTTTTTAACGGACCCTACCACTTTAATCCAACCATTGTTGGTATAGATACARATAATGCAGTATGAACATTAAAAAATATTAGTGTTATAAACATTATATATAAAATATAAATAAGCCTAATATTATATTATTATAAAAAAATTATACCGGGTGATTCTTTTATCATTGAACACTCAATATTTCAAAAATAATTAATGTTTTTGAAAATATTATTTTACATAGTTTCAAGT